CCCCAAAACCCCAAAACCCCAAAACCCCAAAACCCCTTGCTTTTCAATTTATTGGGGAAGATTCTAGAATAAATATGGATATCTACTCAGACAACCCAGAGTGTTTACAACCAGAGTTTTGTGTTAAGGTTTACAGTAAATGCAGAGGGCTTAACTGAATTTAGCTTTAGAGAAATCCATCTCTGGATGAGCATCCATAAAGTTCTGCAATTTTTGCTTTTTCTCTAACTCATCGCTTGTAGGAAGTCCCTTTTGTTTTTGTTGCTGGTCAAACATCATTTTCTCGACGGTTTGTCTTGTTTCTCCGTCCAAGTCTGAGAGTTTAGAGTTCTCTGGTTCGATTTTCTTGGTGTTGATCTTTTCCCCTCCTACAACAACGGATTCCCACCACTTCATCTTGTCGACTTTATCAAGTGTGATAACAACTGTTCTTTGTCCTTCAATGGTCTCAATATTCCAAAGAGTCTCATCTGCTAAGATTTTTGAGAATAATTCTCCATCTAGAATAGGAGGCTGTCCTTTAATCCCGACCTTGAGTTTCTTCTGAGAGTAGATAACATCCAAATTCTTAGCTTTGATTCCATCTGGAATGAACACATTGATAGTAATATCAGAAAGAGTTTGAGTAAAGGAGTAAGTATCTGTTTTCAGTCCATTTCCAATAAGTGGAGGGACTCCATCATCAGATTCATCCCCTTCACCTTCCTTTTTATCCTCAGTTGTTGGAGCTGGGGTTGGAGGTGATGATTCTTCCTTCTGAGCATTCATTAATTTCTCGGCTTCTTCATCAGTGATCTCTTCTACTTTAGAGTCAGTTGCCTTGACTGCTTCACCTTCTTTTCTTGCTTTCTCTTCTTCCTCTTGTTTCTTCTTATGCTCTTCCTGCTTTTTCTTGATGAGATCTCTTCTGACTGCATCTTCATTAAAAGCGTGGAGGTGTCTTTCAAACTGAGCTAGTACAGTAGATCTAGCCTTGTCAGGGTTTGAGTAAAAGTCAGTCTTCCTTCTCATGAAAGAGAAGACTGCATCATAGAATCCGTCAATTCCTTCTGCCTTTTGGACAATATTCATTAAGACACCGTCAAACATGCTATCTGCCATTTTAATTCCGCTGCAAATTCAAAAATTATTAAATCAAATCTGCTCTAGATTAGAGGGGTTTTGGGGTTTTGGGGTTTTGGGGTTTTGGGG